TTATAAACGCTAAAATTACACATGCACCGATCAGTGCAAATTAAGGCATTTTTTTTAATGTGAAATCGCGCCGGGAACGGGACGTCGGTATTCGGGCGTTCATTATTCGTTTTTTTCTCTTATCTTTCTTTTTCATTAACAACAACTCCCCGTATAAGGCACACATATTCAAAATGCACGTGTGACAAGCACACACGCACACACGCACACAAGCGTGGATGCTACGGATCAGGACGATTCTCGAGCTAGCGCAGAGCGCACACCTGCCATAATTCCCACAGTTTCTTCCACGGGGCGAACACGAAATGATCGACCGGCCTCGTCGATCGCTCGTATGGCCTAAGTGCGCGTGACGATTAATAGAACGTGCTGGCCACGCTCTATTGGGAACTATCCGATATTATTGGATATTCCTATCGTTCCGGAGATAAAGGGATGTGGGCTTGTTGATACCTGATTGGGATCCTCATGAATGCGCTTCTGAATATTTATGCGCAAAAACAGCATACGCAAGGTCGTGTGAACAAAATGATCAGGTGCATTTCATCTTTCCGTATTAAGATCTTTCAGCGTATTTCGGTACACACTACTGGCATAATGATCATAATAGCAGACAAAAGAATTTATTAATCGTTGTAATTAATTTTGCAAACAGATATTTTAAAAAGTAAATTAGCTATTACAAGTGGCCGGAGAAGGGAATCGTATATTATAATGGAGCAATTTAATTTTTTGAAATGATAACAATCACTTTTTTTATATGTAGCTAGGAATGCTCAAAGATGAATTAATTATTTCAGTATCAATTAGTATTTAATAATTTATTATATTTTATTGTCTTAATAATCATTTCCTGATCAAAATACCAAGAGTCATTTATCAAAGAAAAACTATTATCTAACTTTTTATTTAAAACGCATTTTGGTGGGTAATGCGTATATGATAAGACAAGACCCCTTATTGATATCTGGTTATTCCTAACTACCTATAATTAAAAACAATAAAAATGTATCGCTTGTTGATAAGTCACTGGGATTTTACATTGCATCATCAATAGCGGTATTTTTTGTTATAGATACTGTGTTTTATATTATACGTCTAAAGATATCATAGCGATTTACTCTCCATCTCCTAAGATACTATTTGTAACTTTATATATATAAACTTAATTAAATATCATAGACATAAAATCTATTTAAAGATAACCACTGTCTTGAAGGTGGTATTATTTTAAAAGCTTTCTTTCATTTTAATCATGATTCACAACCATTTTATTACAAATGATACTGAACTAAAAATGTTCCGATACGTGGTATCTTTTATAAACACAGCATATCAATTAGTAACTCTTTTAGATAGGAAATGCCGCAATTACTCTGAATCTTATTTTTAGATATGATTGGGTCAGGTACTAATTTAACAATGCCTTTTGATAAACTCATTTCATGGTTTCACATTTCTTTTTACTTAATGCAGAATTCCTGTACTAATCGGTTTTTGGACTGCTTGCGATAAGATGACAATATTACATTTTATCTTTTTCTAGTAATAGAATCTTTTAAACTTTGATTATATAAAAACCAACAGATCGTCACACACACACACATATGTACATATATATGCAGATATTTGTTTTCATCAATATTTGATATTTAATTAATTTTTAACCAGGAAACTTTGGCAGGTAAATATTTTATATCAAAACTAAAATCAATTTAGGTCAGTATATCGAATGTGTCAATTTGATGGATGACGATCACCATCCAAAATTTAAGCTTATTACAATAACATCATTAATAAGGACCTGTGCACACATACTCATACACAAAAAATGTTATTTTATAAATTCATTCCATAATATATGCCAACGACTTATTCGTTAAGCGACATATCATCAAATCACAATCTCGTCAAGCTGTTTTAATGACTTTACTATAATAAATGAAATAATAGTACATATTACAAAATTTTCTTTCTATTAATTAATTTGTGGCACTGCAAACATTTTCATTATCTTGATACAAACATAGATTTGACTTTATTTGTAAATAATTTCCTTATAATAACGATTGTGTAACTTGAATAAATGTAATTAAAAGAGATTTTTATGACTTGATATTTTGTAACGTCTCGTTATTCCAATAAATTTGATTCAGATTCTTACTTCGCGTATCAATTATATAGCGAGAAAATTAATAATTTTTAAATATAGGCATTTGGATCAATTTGTGAAGCACAGTTATATAACATTTTGTATCGTACAACAAGAGTCATGTCATTATAACCTGCGTCCATTGATTGGGACTTTCGATTTTATTCTTCGACTTGTACCCGAGCCGGCCTACTATATAACTTGCGAGATAATAAGCGCGATTCTCGTTCTGTAGAGTTAAATTTGATCTTACAATTAGTCGAATCTTGAATCAGTTCTGCTCGGACCGTAATGATGTTTGTTACTTATGTATGATGATGATTGCAAAAGAATAATAATTAGTGACTTAATGAGAGCGCGATTGGAAATAATGAGATTCGGATTTTTTTTGGCTTGAACTCGCCATGCTACGAATTAATATTTATTTCTGTATTCATCGATTCGGCGGTCATTATCTTGCAAATTGTATTTAACAATCACAAAGCATATTGAAATCATTACAAGATTTCTCAACTGGCGTAATCAATTATGCTTAACACAAAAAATGATTATAGTGCAATATATAACCCAATTCAAATTTCAGTCAGGTTAAATAGTCAATAGATTGATAATTAATTTAATTGCAAATGTCGCGATTTATTATATTATTATTAGGATTCAAATAATATAAATAATGTAGGGCAATTTGAATTTGAGCAATTATATTGTGAAAACCAAACCAATCATATCACAACAAATAACACATATCAAACAAACATCTGACTGTGTTAAGTAAAACTTCTAGCTAATTCATCGTTGTAGGAATGTGTTTAATCACTGTTTTTTATAAATTTGTCATTAGATCCTTTTTACCTCATAGACGGGGTAAAATAAGACAGTCAGGGGGCAAACAAATCTAATGCCTTATATTTAATTTTAAAGAAAACATTAATATATAACTAATATATAAATTATATAATGTATTTTTTTTAGTATTTTAGTCAATTTAAAATAGTTGATATAATATTTTATCGCAGCGGATTAGATCTTATATATTCTGAGGAACATGCGACTTAAAATTGAAATAAAAACATTGACCAGGCCATTAATTTATATTTATTCAGCAAATAACTCATCATTATGAATATGAGAATTGATTATGTTCGAGACTATTGTCATTTGGCCCGCATATTATGTCAAATGGATAATAAATGATGACAACTCCCAGCGTGGACAGTGGATTGTGTATCATAACACAAATAGAATGTAAGTGATTGTTATACGTAAGTGACCGCTTCCGCTGGACGTCTGATTGCACATGCACGAATACTGTATATGTACTGTTAAAACGTTTTATAACGCAATTGATAACAATATCTCTTATCTGACATTATTGTTCGACCGCGAGTGCACTCTGTTCTCTTCCCAGCTTCTGTGTACGTTATGCGGCACTTACTTTTGTATGCGTTTCTTAATGACGATGTCTCTTCTCAATTCAATTCTGCAAAGCGTTTATCGTGAAATATGGTTAACCGTAAACTACAATTACAATTCATTCATTTTGTATATAATTGGTAGATAATTTTTTGTGTCGAAATGAATTATTAAATATTGATAAATATTAACCTAAATATTTGATATATGTTGAGTGATTTCAATCCGCTCGCATCACATTCAATGTGAAAGATTGCATTACGATCACTATATTAGATAACAATCGTAATAAATATGTGAACGCTATTAACCAAAAAGTAATACATAAGGTTTTAATTTTATTATTTATAAGACGAGCATACGCCTCGGTTTGACCTGGATAGACCCGGATTTCAAACTTGTGTCCCGGATTTTTCTAAAAGTGATATTTGCCCCGGATTTAGATCTTTTGTCCCGGTTTGTCCTTCAAAAATTAATAGGTAAATTAACAAAAATTATGAAAAAAACAAACAAGTGCTATTTTTTTGTTCAAATTAATTATGAAGAAAATGGTATAGAATTTTATACAGGGCTCGAAAGCGAAAAAACATATAGATCGAAAAATATAAGATATAATATAATATCAGATAAAAAATATTACATATAATCGAATAATAAAGTTCTTATTAAAAGTTTGCAATTCTGATCGAACGAATTCATATAAACTACATAATCGAAAATGTAACCTGATTAATAAAATCTTGTGACTTTGAACCATTTATTGTCTAATTAAAAAAATCCACTTACTTATGAATGATTATAGCAAAACATAACTCTGTAAACATGATAAGATATTTAGGTAATAATTATACCTAATTAATAAAAAAATTTGCATTTTTTCGAATGATAAGGAAATATACATACATAACAACATATCATACGATTTGGTAAACAAGATAATGCTGTCGTTTATTCGAACTTTTCTCGTACGATAGGAGAAGTGTTGTTCAATTAGCGATAACAGTTTGTGCATTGTGTTGCTAATAGCTGATCGTTTGTTGCCAAAGTGGCATGGGCCCTAGGGGGACTTATGGCACGATGAGCAGCCAGTGTCCAGAATCTGCCGGGGGGGTCTGAGTCACAGTGCGGCGATAAGTCGCGCGAGTCTCGCACGAGTCGAAATGAGTCACGCGCGCGCCTTTGCCAACGCGTGTTTGTATCAAAAAGCGATCCCCCCGCGCTTCTAGTGCAACAGCATCGTTCATCGTTCCCGACCATTACATGTATCTCTTCAATGATATCCCAAAGCTCGGCTCGGTCCTAATCACATCCCGTGCGAGTGCGACAGAGCAGAACGTCGCCCCAGAGCGAAACGGCGAATCGGTACTAGTGTAGCGATATGTACCTCTAGTATACACGCTATACGGCTATACGGCTACACGGCTACACGATTCTACGGCCATACACAAACGGCAGCTGCACCGAGCGCACGCACACACACGGACCCATACAACGATACACAGGTGGTCGGCTCGTGTGGGAATTGGAATCAGTCCGTCGTTCCCACGATCTCATACACCTGGGACGGGTATATAAGCGCGTCCTGCACCGCTAGAACGTCATTCAGAGTTCAGCTCTCAACTCGAACACATCTACCGCACTAACAGTCTTGTACTATCATTTATAAACACGCATCCTAAAATAAAATAAAATACTTACGATATTATAATATTAACACAATTTAATATTATAATTTTTTGACAACGTGATTTTGTTGTCAATTAAAAATATCAGTTTTGAAGTGAGTTTGAAGTGGTGATTTATAAAAATAATAATGGGTTACGAAATGGTGTTCGCTAACAGTGAAGACGGTACCTTGCAACCGGTATCCCGCACTCATCAATATCGCAAAGTAATGAAGCCGATGTTAGAACGTAAACGTCGTGCTCGCATCAATAGATGCTTGGATGAATTGAAGGAGTTAATGGTTGGCGCACTACAACATGAAGGTGAAAATGCAGCAAAATTGGAAAAAGCTGACATTTTGGAATTAACTGTCAACCACTTGCACAAACTGCGCCGTCAACAGCGACTTTCTGCCAATCCTGTTGTGGACGCTGACAGATTCCGCGCAGGATTCACTCATGCCGCTAATGAGGTGAGCCGTTGTCTGGCTGCCACTCCTGGTGTGGATGTGCGTCTAGGTACTGAGTTGATGACGCACCTCGGACACCGCCTAAATGACATGGATCGCGGTATTGGCATGTCACACATAATGCAACAATCGCCAATTGCACCCACCAAGATCAGCATGCATCAGCCAATGCAACATCAACAACCGATGATGCAGCAACATTCCGTGCCGCTGACCCCTCCCGGATCGCCTTGCCCTTCGCCTTTGGATTGCACCGCTACCGCCGGCGTCATAACCTCTGATGACAGGCCGGTATGGAGACCGTGGTAAATAATCAAAACCACAAGTAATTAAATCAATTTCGCTCAAGATGGAAGTAAAGAGACGTCTGATCAAGCTTTAATTAGGATTAACAAACTATTGTGATATAGGATATAGGGACATTGAAATAGAAGAAACTACGAATAATTCGAAATAAAATGTCACTGCAATTTTACTAGAAGTGATCGTGTACCTGTCGCGAGAATTTTTCTTGAAGTTTTGTTTTTGAATATGTCGCCCGTGTTGTGTTTGTGAATGTGTATTCTCACAAAGTTTGATAAAGTAATAAATGTAATATTTTTGTAAACGGGCGGCTTTCAAAATATTGTTTCAATAATCACATTGTCTTCTTGTTTTTATTTTTTAATAGAATAATTTTGTTTGTATTTTTATAAAGATTATTTTAAATTTATTATTAAGTTTTGTATTACAGTTACATATTGTAATCGCTGTGATACTATATACAATAATAGAATATTTTCTATGTTTTCAAAGAAGATAAAAAATTATTAAATAAAAAATGAAGTCTAAATATGAAATAATGTTTTTAATTTTTTCTAAACTTTTTTTCAGATATTTTGTTTTGATTGGATTCTAATATGTGTTTGTCATAATATCTGTTTGATGATAATATATTTTGGCTATCATTCAGTTCATTATGACTATATTTTTTACTATTAACATATAGTGTTATTATATTACAATATTTATAACATGTCTGATAAAATTTTACTGGCATCAGATCGAGTTATAATGTCATTCGTATATGTCGCAAAAACTGTTTGATGAAACATATCTATTGGACATCAATCAGATTTTTAAACAACATACAACATATATATATATATATAGTTGAATTTCTTTGGATTTATTTATTAAATCAGATAGATTCAAATTGTGTTTGCAACGTTATATAAACTACATTTACAATTATTACTCATAAACTGATATGTAAAACTAAATTACTATATCTTGTTTACAATTAATAACATATAATAATCTACCAAAAAATAATATATGCAATAATTAATTAACATACACCAAATTGAATTTACCGTTTTGATTCTGGCAAGTAAATATAAATGCTCAATATTTTCTTGATTTGTAAAATATTGTAGACATTTATAAGTAGTAATTTAGACAAAAATAAAATATGTAAATACAATTAAAATTAAAATAAAAATATTTAAAAATTTTGATAGAAACGCTTTAATGTTTAGCAATTATTTCACGTTCATATTGCTATGATCTTTGTCTAAAATTATTACTTTCATGTTATCAACACTATTCAAAAAATATTATTTGTACATTTAAATTCTCAGTTAGATTCTTGTGTGATTTTCAAAATCATGCATGCATTAACTACGTTAGATTCAATGTTTTTTATAATTATATTATAAGATTAGTCGAGAATCAAAAAACTAAATTTTATTTTTTAAAAGAACTGATGTTATTTGTATTTATTGTTAGATGAATTCAGTTTTAATTTACTATAATGTTCTCTATTTTATTATTTTTCATATCTAATTGTAAGTATACTTTGCGTGAAGCATACGTACGATTTTTTATGAAATACTCATAACAGAGCAGTTATATTATAATTTTCATTTAATTAATTAGTTTGTTTATATCGTTTTATATTATAAAACAATAAATATTTTACTAATTCATTATTTTATTCACATTAAGAACTTAGTTTCTTGTTGGATAATATTATAATCTTGGACAACAACCTGTATTGGCACTAATTGCAAGTAAACTACTTTTGGCTCAATAAAAACACTTATTTTTTTATCTTACGCATTTAACAGAAAATTGAAAATATTTAGACGTGATAGAATATTATTATAAAAATATACATCAGTTGCGTTCTAACTATTGGTATATCAACAAAATAAATATTTAATACACTTCAGAGTATTAAATTTATAGAGTAAATAACTACACAAAATATTAAATTAGTTAATCAGAAGTGAAGTAAGAATTTTTTTTTCTGTTTTTTCAATTAGATAGATTCGTAGATTAATGAAAATTATGAACCGAAATATGAACATTCGATTTGTATTGATAAGGAGACGTGCTGATTATTTTTTGGCGATGGCAGGTCTAGCCGTTCCGAAGATATGGCAAAAAGTGCCAAAAACGGTAACTCAGGTTTTAAGAGAACGGAGCGTCCGATTTGAATAATTCAAAAAACATTTTACTTGTATTATCAAGATGAAGAACTGATCAAATTTTCATAAAGGCAGGTCTAGCGGTTTCGGAGATCTAGTAAAAAAAAATAAAAAAAGCCATTTGGTGGTCAAAAATGACATATGCACATCAAATTATCAAATATTTTATAGAGATTTTAACAATAAGTATAAATTTTGTTTACATTCCTATGGGTTTCGTACCATTTCCGTTATCCGCTAGACGGCGACGCGGCGCTTACGCGCTTCGATATTTTGTATTTATGCAGTTAAAGCAGTAGGATTGCTTTGAAAAAAAGTTCAGAATTTCCAAGATATTTTAAAATAATTTTTTCTTCAAAAAGTCTTTTTTAACAAAAAAAAGTAAATTTTTGTCAAAAATTTCTAATTTCTCAAAAATCTAATTTTTTCAGAGTAATTTTTTTTTCAAAAATGTTAATCTTTTTAAAAAAATATATTTTTGGTACTGGAAGTTCCAGCAATTTGCCTTAAGACACGATGCCCCACTAGTTTATATTAACCATTTTCATTCGACTAAACTCTGTCGAAGGTATTTGAGCTTTATCTCTGCTACATGTATTTCAGATAGTTCTTACTGATGGAGAATATTTGCGTCTGATATGTATACAACCATACATGATTTTATTTCATTCTTTGAATATGTATAATATTTAAGATCTCCTTGTAAGTTTTCTTAAGTGACTAATAAGAATTCAAAAGTAATAGTGCATTTCATTCTGCTTTAAGTCAAATTGCTGGAAATTCCCGTACGGTTAATTAAATTTTGAAAAAAAAAGATTTGTTTGAGAATATAATTTATTATGAACATTTTTGATTTTTATTTTAAAAAACAAAAGTTTGTATCCGCACACACACATCCATTTTTTCAAAGGTATGCCAAAATGTTTAAAAGGCCTTGGAAAAGAATTACTATCCTACGGGAAGGTATATATAGTTATATCGATACTTGTTTTCACGTATCAACTCCAAATTTATAGACTTAGCAATTATGGATTTTTAACCCTTACCACTCTGATGCCGCGAAATCGGCGAAAAAATTCATATGAATCTCACAATTAGCAAGTGGAAAGGGTTAATCTATATTTCTGTCTGACTATCCGAAAGTTTACCGAAAAGATTTAAAATATTAGGATCTGCATATAATCAAGAAATAATTCATATAATTATGTCAAGAACTGCTTCATTTTTCTGTACTCCAAATACAATCTCTTGTTTCCCTATTTTTCATACTTATTGTTAATACTTTGTTAATTATCTCCTCGTTGTTCGCTTGTTACTGCCTGAAAATGGTCGATTACTTATAATTCAAGTTTAAAATTCTGAATTCTAAATTTAAATTCTATTTATAATTTTTTTGAAAAAAAATCTAACAAAAATCTGTAGTTTTAGTTTATTTTTTGTTACATTTTTTTATTATATACATACATGAACTTTTAATTTAAAAAAAAATGTAATTTATATATAAATTTTATATTTTTTGTATTTATTGATCTTCATATAACGCGGTACCATTGATGTGATATATCTTTAAATGAACTTTAAATTCAATAACAATTTAAAATTCACATATTTATATTTTTTATATTTATTGGTTTTCATATAACGCGGTACAAATGTAAAGCATCATTTGTACCGCGTTATATGCTTTATATAAACTCAATTCAATAAAAAAATTAATTTATATATAAATTTTATATTTTGTGTATTCATTGGTTCCCATATAACGCGGTCAAATGATATGATATTATATCCTTAGATAAACTTTCAATTTAATAGGAACAATTTATATTTTTTTATATAGTTTGTTTTTTACATTTATTGGCTAATTCAGATGGTGAATTTCTTATATATATATATATATATGTATTTGCATCGATTACATAGCCTCCTGTCTGTGCAAAAATACTTAAAAAATGTTTCCACAGTTTTGCAAAACAAAACTCTCCTTATTTTTCTTATTAAAAAAAATCATGATTATCGACTGGTTAGTTGTATCAATTTTAGTGCAAAATTCTGTCACACATTTTTAGATATAAAATACCATGTTCAATATCCACTGATGATGACATTAAATTGAATGTCGAAACGTTTGGAATTAAAGATTATTTTATAAATCTTTGCTTTTTCTTTGTTTGATGTAGTGCCCTTAAGAACTCACTCATATATATATATATATATATATATATATATATATATATATATATATATATATGTATATATATATATATATATATATATATATATATATATAATAAATTGCGTATTTTGCTAAAAGTCCTAAATACCGTCCTAAATTTATACTGAAAGATCAATATTTTATACTTAAAGTTCTGTAACTGTACAATATTTAGTAACTAAAGTAACATTTAGTAAATTAATAAAGTTTTTTTATAATACCTGATATTTGAAAATATTTAACTATATGATGTATTATTACTATACCAAAAAAATATGAAATTCAATTTGGGCTTCACAAGATGACCTTCGGATAAGAAATACTAACGTGTTCAGGATACTTATAATTAATAACATTGGCATAAGCCTTATGTAATTAATATATTTATATCACTTGGGATTAATGTTATACACCCTTTTGGAAAGGGCTTCGTCATTTGAAAGAATTAAGGGTCGGTTGTTGACAGCATATACGTCTAGTAAGCACGCAACCATTACTTCATATTAATCTTTTTTCAAAAATATTTTAACCGCAAGATTAAAAATGCATTGAAAATATTAAAAAAATGCAACTCTTATTTTTTTATATATGTATGTATCAACTGAATTTATTTAATTTAATTAACTTATTATTATGGAGAGCAATAGCGAAATATAATATTAGTAGAAAAAAGTTAATGTAATTAAAATGTCGTTTTCACGAGAACGCATTCCCAAAGGCTTCACTATCATATGACAATTAATATACTATGTCATTTTCCAGTTAGGAAAAAAGTAACATACCTAGAAATTACATCTTTCTTCATAATTTTGTTATAAATGTCAATATAAGTTCAGTACCAAATGGTCGCAAAACTATGTATGTTTTGCGTTTTGTTT